TCCTTCGCCGCGCCTGGCTGTTGTCGCCCTGTTGATGATGTCAGCGACGCGGTTTAATCGGGCGCGGCTTAGTCGGACGCGGTTTTGACAGGTCACGGGTACGACCAACTTGACATCACTTGTCTCTTCGGCACCCCTCCCAGGATAACCCTTTATTTAAGTACATTGTGTCCTCGTTTCTCCCTCCAGAACGAGGTCCAGAATATTAAATTCAACAGCTCGGGGCGATGCGAAGCCCCACTGGTGCAGACCGACAACCCCAAGAGTTGGTACGAGGATGTGGAAGGTTGTGGGATCCAATGCCAGAACCCCCTTTTCACCCAGAAGGAACATCGCGAGATGCACATCTACATCGCCGCCTTCAGCTCAGTCACAATTTTTTGCACCTTTTTCACGCTGGTGAGCATGGGGCGGGGGGGGGACAGCCACGCCTGGCGTGGACGAGAGGGAGGGTGGGATTTGATCGCCCCCCCCCCCGGCTTATAAACCCATAATTAGGTAGTCCCACGAATGTGAACCCACCTAGAACCTTGGCCAAGATTCTAGTTTGGTTCACATTTGTGGGACCTGCTGGGCAGTGGACAGTGAGGAGGTTGGGGAGGAACATGGGCCAGTCCTGGGGGGGCTGAGGAAAGCTCAGACGAGGGCTCTGCGTCGGAGGCAGAGAGGGAGCTAGACAGCAGTGAGGCAGAAGAACAGCTGGAGCCTGTTCCCACTGTACGCATGGGCAGAGCTGCCGGAAGACAAGAACAACTAAGAAAGCAGGGCCGACTTGGGAGTAAAGCCACACGTGGCGGTGATTGGCCCCTCCCAAGAGGAGCGAACGGGGAGGGGGCTTTTGCAGGAAACAATTCGTCCCTTCGGTCATTTCAAGAGGGGAAAATTCTGTGACTATAAGAAACTCTGTGCCAAGTTTTGCCTTGCCCGGTGTTTGGAAACTAGTTATCTGGACGCTCTCCAAGCAAGATAAGGTGCGTGTGGATAAACATTCCTTGGAAAGACTGTTTGCTAAGCCTTGCGGACTGTGAATGAGAGGAATTCAGTCGTGTAAATGGGGTTTTGCCGGGTCCAAGACTCCGCTTCTGGCTTTTGAAGGAAGCCTGGGTCAGAACAGTCGGCTGGTGTGGATTCTCATCTGTTCTGACCCCCCTCATTCCACACCAAAGCATTCGAAGCCGTAAAGATACTTTACGGAACTTATTAATAGACAGACAGGTCCTTGGTAGCAATCCAGCCTGCCAAGCTCACAATACTGTTCTCCAACGTTAGTTAATGCGTTGACTTCTGCAAAAGGGGCGTGTGCACAAGCAGTCCTTTTATAGTCTGGAGAGGAGCCTAATGACCACCAGTTGAGTGCAATTACCTCCTAATTGTTCCTTACGCCTATTAGCTCTCCGGTGCCGGGCATCTAGGAACAACTCCCTGGGCTCCTCCCCACTGATGACGTCCGGATCACACTCCCTTGTCTCTTCCCCACTGGTCCAAGGCTCAGGAGCCTCCTAGTGGCCAACCACTCTCGATATATCCAGCCCCCCGGAGATTGTGATTGTTGTATATTTTAATGTTGTTTGTGTATTATTCCCCCTCCCTTGTTTTATTG